TAAATATACCTTAAATTTTCGTAAGGGTATCCATAACTAAAGAAAAAAATTAGATGTCGATCAAGAATATGTAACAAATTCTAAATAAAATAAGACATTATTATAAACATGAAACAAGAGTTAAAAATATTGACGCTTAAATTTTAATGCATCAAAATTAAAGATAACTTGACCATTTTGAAACTTTTTTTTATAGCATTTAATGCACTTAACTCGTAAAATCTACTAATACCCCGTATAAAGAAAACTACTTAAATTAGGAATAAGTCCCTTAGAAGCGCTATATAAATTTATTTATTTCAATAATAAACTAAGAATCTTGCCGTCTTAAATTCACATAGGAAATGCCATTGAAATGGTTCGTTCGAAAAAATGTTTGGAACGCGTTTGGAAGGAGGCGGGGTTTGACGTCATAAAATACATCATCACTGTCCCTGTCTATTTATACCTCGATTTTTTCATAAGGGATAATTCTTAAGGTTTGCCATGTTTTGTATTTTATCCCTTATTTGGCTACATTTGAATAAAATGTCGCCAAAAATATCTTTAAAAATATTTTAAGTTAGCTTAATTAGAAAATATTCTAATGATTATAATATTAATATGATAATGCTGATGTTTAAAGGCTGAAAGAAAGAACTCGGTACATGTGAAATACTTCAAAAGATATGATGCAATAATATGATGGCGCGTTTTTTCAATCTGCGGCGTAAAAATATATCTGAAGCAGTAAACCGGAAGGCTTGAAAGAGCAATTTTACCACTAGCGCCACCACCCATTGCTTGACGCGATCACCCATCCACATGATACATTCAACTTTTGAAAGGTTCGCTTAAGCAAGAAAATTATTTTTGAGTGAAGCAGAGTAACAAAAAGATAAAAAAGGTGTGGCATTTAAACTTGGTGTTTACATGTTGTTGTTGATATTTCGGTGCTTATCGCTTCCGATTTTAATTTTACCAAGTTACTTTAGCATAGGAAAACAGATATTTCAAAGTAGGAAAAATGATGTGATTTATCACTTATATTAAAAATTGAATTTTTATATTCGTTAATTTTATTTAATAGCTTCTGTTTACTATTAACCTTGCCTATACTTTGTTTTCTTTTTAACTACTACAATCGGAAAGGTATGTATTCAGTATTTCCGAAATAATTGTAAGAACTTAATGTAGAAGGTTTATGAACTATTAAAAATGGTGTTGATTGAAAACTCTAATTAATAATTTCATGTTATCAAATTTTTAAGGTGATAAATTCTGGAATTTTGCGCTTATTTTATTATTATCAGAAAAAACAGTTACAAATCTTGTATTATGGAGTTATGTAGTTTCACAATTATTGATTCCTTTTTTCATATGATATTAAAAATGATCTATTCCATTTAACAAAATACAGTAATCATATCATAGAATTTTTAAATAGGGAGTTGAAGAATCATTCACTTAATTACTTTGTACAAAAATGTTAAGTGGCCTTCTCACTCTGTTTTCATTTCAAGATTACAGAAAACCTACTTTAAAATAATATTATTTAATAAGTGTCAAATTTTATTACAGATTAATTACTTAATCAAATAGTAGACTCAGGGAATGTAAATTAATTAATAATGGTTATTATTTAAATCTAGTACAGTCAAATTTGGTTAATTCACACATCTTTAATTCGAATTCGTGTATAATTCGAAGCTTTTCTCTTTCCCTAGACACATGATATTCAGTCAATGCTTAAAAATCTTGGTTATTTCGAAATCCAACTTCTTTAATTCGAAGTTTTTTCTTTTTCAAAAATGACAAAATCTAGTTTAAATGCAGTTATTTTTGAAAAGTATTCTGGTTATTTTCAGCTATTATGAAATTTTATTAGGGATGACAAGGGGGTGGGAGAATTGTCTGATCTGCTCAAACAGAACAGGAATAAAGAGGAAATGGACCTAGACCACCCCCGCACCTGTCCTTGGCTACAGGTAGTCCCTTACCTTTTCCTTGTAAGTGAGCCAATCCTAATTGAAGTTCCCAATTGAAATAAAATTTGTGAACGACCGGAAGGGTATTTCAAATCACGTGATAGGATGCATACATGTCATTGGTCAGAGCAGAGGAAAAAAAAAATTGCCACCGGCTAGGCGAGTTTTCATGATCTTGAAAAAAGTTATGTCTACGTGAGTCGTCCTTCAAAGGTCATCGGGCAGTTTATTGACAGGTGTCCCTCCAATAGTGGTGAGTTTATTTTTTTCATGAGATCACCTTGCACCCGACTCCGGGAAACTGGTGTATAATCACGGCATTAAAAACCAGGACTGTAGTCGATATTACTTGAGTTTTCTATATTATGATTTTAGTTTTGTTGTGATAGTTCAGTGCATGTCGTTTAGTAAGCCCCGTGTCCCGTATAAAATCTTATCTTTAGATGAAAAAATTGCTGTAATTCGAGAAGTAGAAAAGGGTGTAAAAAAATGTACCATGGCAAAGGAGTTTGGAATAGCACCAACAATCTCTCGACTTTATGAAAAATAAGGAAAGAATTTTGAAATCTAATGGAAATCGCAAGCGAGCTAGAGAGCCTGATTATCCTGACGGGGACGAGTGTGTTGTAAAGTGGTTTAAACAAGCGCGGGACAAAAACATCCCTCTCAGTGGAACTTTTGCTCGTGCAAAAGTCGAAGAATTTGCTATCAGTTTAGGTAACAGCAGCTGCAAAGCAAGCTCCGGATGGTTAAACGGATTTAAGGAAAGAAATGGAATTTCTTTCAACTCTGTGTGTGGTGAAAGTTCAAGTCTGAACCAAGGTGCAGCAAAGGAGTGGAAAGAAAAAGTTGTCGAAATTATTGAGTATACGCTGGACAGAGACATTTTTAATATTGATGCGACTGGACTTTTTTTCAAATGTACCGCTGCAAAGACTCTTGCTTTTAAAGGTGAAAAATGTAGTGGTGGAAAACACAATAAAGACCGAATAACCTTACTTGTAGGAGCAAACATGGACGGCACTGAGAAATTACTGATGATTGGAAAATCGAGAAATCCAAGGTGTTTTAAAAATGTCAAATCAAAGCATATAGAATACCATTCTAACACAAAAGCATGGATGACGGCGAATATTTTTGAAGACTGGCTGCTAGATCTCAATCGCACATACCAAAGAAAAAACAGAAAAATCATCCTATTTATTGATAACTGCACTGCTCATAAATCGATACCCACTATGGAAAATATCACGGTTGATTTTTTCCTGCCAAACATGACATCTGTGGTGCTACCAATGGATCAAGGCATCATTAAAAATCTGAAGCATTTCTGCAGATGTCTAGTCGTTCAACACCTCCTTACTGAATCTTCCCAAAAGCTTCCTATTACTCTCCTCGATGCTTCAAGAATGTGTTTAAATGCATAGTCCAAAGTCAGCCAAAAAACAATAGCAAATTGTTTTCGGAGGGCAAGATTCATCAGGAACACCGTCCTTAGTGATCTTTTCGATGAAGAAAATTGACCTCCCCCAGTTCTGTGGGAAGACAACATTCCGTTGGATGATTATGTCGGTATGGATGAAAACATAGACATTTGTGGAGAGTTATTGGATACAGATATTCTATCTGAAGTTCTAAACAATAAGAATATTGCAACAGAAGACGAAGAAGATATTGAAGATGAGGTAGAAGAACAGAGGCCAATTCCAACTTCAAGTGAGGCAGTCGTTCATTTATCAGAATATCGACGCTATGCAGAAGGACAATCTGACGTAAGTGAAGCTGTGTTTAGAGCTATAAATATTCTTGAAGATTTTGTTAGAAAAAATCAAGTAAGCTCTTTAAACTAATCTGATATAGCTAAATATTTTAAAAAATTGTAGCGTTTTAATTTAAAATTTATAAACACTCTTTGTTTCGCAATTTCTGTTACGAGTGATTATTTTAAGACATAAAAATAAAATTTTTCGGATAATTCAAAGTTTCGCAGAGGCCCCTTGCCCTTCGAATTATCCAAGTTCGACTGCATAAAAATTTTCTATGAATTGATCTCAATCTCCTTCAATAAAGTTATACAGGAAATTGTTAAAAGCTCTGTTCTAATCAAAGTAATTCCAAAAATTAAGGATAATATTTTTATTACTCTTTTACGTTAAAATTTCCCTTATTATATTTAGGTAGAGTAAGTTATTATACTTCGCTTTTTTATTTTATGTCCTTTTGAGATGTAGTCTGGCATCTGTATATCTACCTACCTATCCTCTTCATGCCTTCTGTCACATGATACCTCAAGTATATGTACATTGTTCCAAAAAATTTTCTGATTTATTTGGAAAATGTGATCCTGATCTTTTCTTTGGTCCACTACATGGCCCATGTAATATTGTTATTTTGTGCTATTACTTGTTTTAATAAACTTTTTTTTAAAAATTATATTTTAGGACTGCTCTTTGAGAATGATTAGTTTTAGAATATTGTTTACATTTTGCCTCTCCATATATTGTGGTAAGTTCAGTTTTATGCTTTTCATTGTTTTGGAATACAACTTTCAAATTTCTTATCATACTTTATTTGCAATTAAACTATTACCTTTATTTTTAATGTAAGTTAAATTGCAAGTAAATAATGGGTTAAGCACAAACAAATGACAGGCCTTTAATATGTTCATCTAGATTATCTGCTAGGATAACTTAAATTTTTTTATTAAAACTAAGTTTTTTGGAATATTATGGTTTTCATATTTAAGCATTATTTTCTAAAAGTTTTAGTACTATTTTAATTTTAGCAGTTATATGACCAAGAAATTATCAAAAATTTATTAGTTATGGTTACATTTAAGTGACAATATATAAAATTAAAATTTTACCGTAATTGTCAGAAAAATAAATTATTGATGCTATTAAAGTTTTTTTTGAAGTAACTTCCCTAGTATATAAACTCTTTGCTCTTTAGTACGACCCCCCATTTTACGAACCTTTCATTACAATGACAGGTACATAAAATCCTGTTTGCTATTCCATATGAACTGTAATTCATTCTAATATAGCTACAGAAATTTTTTTCACTTTCTAGAATAATACTCCACAAACGGGGTAGGGGCCATTCAAAAAGTACATACATCCCAAAGGGGGGGGGAGGAGATTTGCTATTATGTACGGTTTTGTACGATGGGGAGGGGGGGAGGTATTATACAAAGTACGTACTTTATAAACATACACCAAATTTAAATTTGACTTTATCCTACACACTCCTTAAGTAAATATTTAATTTTATTTAAAACATAATTATTTTAATTTTTATGAAAAAGGGGGGTAGACTAATAAAATGTACGTACTCTAAGGGGGGGAGTAAGACCTTATGTACGGTAATGTACGAAGGGGGGGAGGGGTTTAAAATTTCTCCATTTTTGTGTACGTACTTTTTGAACGGCCCCGTAAAACAGTTTTGAGCTTTCTATACAAATATTTTCCCATTGACAATGAATAGCAAAAGTCACCAGGAAATGATTCAGACCGTTATTTATTTTGATGTTACCGTTCAAAACAGGTGAAACATCTTGAATTTTCTATGAATGATGAAAGAGTGATAGGACCACCATCTCTTATCCTGGGTAGTCCTTGGCATTATATATGGCTAAAAAAAATTGTGAAATAGCAATTTTTTTCATTATTCCATTATTGAGAAAATATTTATTGAATTTTCACCCCGGAATTAAAGTTTCTTGTATGCATTCATAACCTTTGTAAATTTCTTTTTAAAGATTTCAATAGGTTTCAATTTTAAAGGAAGTGGATTGATTAAATTGGCAATGGATTTTATCAAAATAAGTCCTGTATTTTTGAGTAATTATTTGTTATATTTTTGAGTACTCACTTTATGACAACCTTATAATGCCTATATTTCTTTGAACCACAAATTGAGCATCGACTGCATAGATTAATTTTAAATAATGCTTTATTCGTCAGTTTTTTTCAGTCTAAAGCCCCAGTGATAAACTTTTTTGAAAATTTGTAATTTTACATAGTTATTAAATAATTGTATGCAGAGTATCAATCAAAATGATATTGCATAGATTTGTACTCAGACTTTGTTTGTAATTGTTTTTAATTTAAAACTTTTTAATTCTGATATTTGGGCTCAAAAATATTTCCATTTTTTTGCCTAATCAGCATTATCAATTTTAACAGAAAATTCTCTTAATAAATTTTTTCCCCTTGTTTTGTTTTTCTACATGAATAAATGTGTTTATAATTTTTGTGTATGCTTTATTTTTCATGCATGAGAATTTTCTCTATCAAATTTAAAAGCAATTTTTTTCTATTAATATTTTTTAAATTTCAGTACATTCTCAGACATGTCCGAAAAACTGGATAGATTTTAAAGACTCGTGTTATAAATTTACCAGAACACCTTTACAGACTCGTGAAGGGGCAGAAGATATGTGTAGGACATACAATGCAGATTTAGTAGCTGTGAATACTCTAGAGGAACATAGTTTTATTAGAAGTTGGTTAAGAGAAAATGATCCTCAACATCGCAGGTAGTTAAAATTTTAACAGCATGATGTAAATAAAGAACAGTTTTTTCCAATTGGCATTTGATAGCTGTTTATATGTCTATTGTATGACAACATCCAAATCTTTTCTTTTTTAATAGAGTTTTACAAATTATACAAATCATTTTATTATCATTTTAATCTTATAAAAATCATTTCTATGAAATGGTAATAAAAATGTTCTTTTTATAACTTTGATTGGAATAAAAACAAAATTTTTTAAAATTTTGCATATAGTAGTTGAAAATAATTGAAATGGGTTCTGTAATAAACATTAAATGTTATAATTATAATTATAAATTATTCTAATTATAAATTATTATAATTGTAATTTAAATAAATTATAATTATAATAATTTATAAATTGAATTTAATTTTTAAAAAGTAACTTTTTTTAATGATATCAATTATGTTTGAAATTTGAATCATCAATTGTATTAATTGAGCAGGGACAATTTCCTTATCCAATAGAAATGTATTTTAAAAATAAAATATTTTACTTTAAAAAATTTCCTTTGCATTTTTTTAACATTTTTATTCAAAACTATTTTGGGGGGTAATTATTATTATTTTTTAAGGAATATGCCAAAACTCTATTTTTCTGACCAGGGCAGATAAAATTGAATCTATATAGAACAGGGTTCATAGCGTTTTTAAAAAGTGCTTAAAGGTGCTTATTTTCGTTTTTTAAAAGCCCTTAACGGTGTTTTTTTTCTTTGAGTGTTTTTAAAATGTGCTTAATTTTCCCTTTTTCAAAATGAGATTTTTTCTATACTATGTTTATTTTCTCTTCAAATTATGCAAAAATACACAGTTCACGTTGTTCTATTCAACGTTTTCACAATCTATTCAACCCCAATCTATTTCGGCGTTCTGTCAGTCCGTAGCGCATAAAAATACCATTCGTTATACATGATTAAAAATGTCATGATTTTTGACAATTGTCAAAAACAATGCCAAAAGGTTTTTTTTTGACATGACGGTTAAAACAAGATAAAACTGTCAATTGTCAAAAACTTTTCAACCCTACCTAATTATGATATTTTTTTAAAGTGCTTAGAAATATTTTTTGAGTCCTTGAAAAGTGCTTAAAAGGTGCTTATTTTTTGTTAAATAATTTGGCTATGCACCCTGCGGAAATCATAAAAATATCTCATTTTCTTAAAGAAATATTTATTTATAGCAGCAACAAATTAGTGTTATGACTAAAATTCCTGTTCATTTCTCTAGAAACATTAGAAATATATTTGAATTTTGTTATAAACTAAATTTTGATTAGTTGTAAGAACAGAAATCACAAAACTTTTATCATGTTTCTTTGTTCTACTGCATGTTTTTCAGACACTGTTTTCAATCTTGTAGGAATTTTGACTTGGAATATTGCAAAATATAGCTTCATAGTCTTGTTGACCTTAAAAAGCTGTGGTTTTATCCAACATTATCTGCCATCCAACAGAGAAAAGAAAAAGCTTAGCATATTTTTAACGCGGTGTAAAATCTATTTTAACATTTGAAAACAATAGTTAAAAAGTGGCATAATCGAATGCTGAACTCACCTAAAATAAATCTTCAAGTAATTAGAAACTATTCGTTTAAATTGGTAGAAAAAATCAAAACTGTTCTAATAAAATTTTTGAAATGATTGTGTTACATTAACAAAGAAATAGCTTACTCTGTTTTTCATTAATCTCCAAATACAATGATATCTGTCTGCAACCAATTTCTTGTGGTTTCTAACAGATAGCAACAATAGTTTAGTCAAATATGCCGGGTCTTTTTCTGCCTACCAGATTTTGTCCAACCCTCTTCTACTTGCTGGCTTTATGCCTTGACTTTAATTTACTTGCAGTGAAATATAAGTTAAACTTCTTTATATTTATTCAAACTTTCCATTCAATAAACAAACAGTACAAAAATATTTTTGTGTTTCATTTTTGTATGATTTCAGAAAATTATAAGAATGTTAATAAGAATAATATACTTAATAATAGTGATAAAGTAATAAGAATGTTTATTAAAATAAGTAAAGTTAACTATGTATAAACAATGTAAATTGTAATATTTATTATTAGTAATAAAATAAATTTCGACAAAATAATATATAAAATATTGACATATAACATGGTATATTTTTATTAACAGAATTTATTTATGCATGTCAGATATATTTTAGTGATTGGTAGTCTCTTATTAATCTTCATTTAATGAGTGAAAATTTATGTATTTTGTCATTTTTTAAAAGCAATTATCATTAGGAACAATACTTAATGTGTAGTGCTCATCACATAATGTAGATAATATTCTATCCAGATTTGGTTTATAGGTCCATCTAGTTTGTAATGGTAATTCAAGTAGAACACTTAGTAGTTGCATTTTTTTACATATTAACTTTTGGCGCAAATAAATTATTTTTATTATTTTTTTCCTTAGCATTATTAAATTCTCGACTTTTATTACCTTCTGAAAAGATGACAATAATAAATTTTACACTATTATAGTCTTCACAATCTACAAATAAAGGATTTAAGAAGGGTTTTGAAGTGAAGAATGAGTCTCATTAAAGTTTTCTTTGGAATGCTCATTTATCAGAAATCATTAAAATCTTTCAACCTCTTCTATTTGAAAATATAGTTAGCCATAAATTAGTAAATTGTTTGTTATGATTAAATAGTAAGATGATCAAATTGATCAGAATAGACCGTTTCTTAAATTTTATTATTATCAAATAAAAAAAAAGTAGCTTTCTTTGTAAAAATGTGTATAGATTATTTAGGAACTGATCTGTACTCATTTTTAGGGATTATTTTTCATTGCCAACCATATTTGGTGCCAAGTTTGTATTAAATTAAAATTTTATCTGTAAAAACAGACATTATTTAACACCTAATTGCAGTTCATAAAACAAAAATACTACAGATCTATATCAAATTTTTACCCCTAGGCAGCAGTTTTGTCACCCATTTGTACCCATCTTTTGGTAAATTTTACACAACAAACATTTTTTTTGTTGAACATTCTAAAAATAAAAGATATTTCAGAACTATATTGAATCCTTACTCCCGACAATAGTTTTGTTACCATCATGGGACTAGCATTAAAAAATGCACAAAGCAGTATAATGTAAAGTTGGGGTTAAAAAAATGTGTTTTTTGAAATTTGACATTTTCAAGATGAACTACTAGAAAAAATCTGTAATCTGTACATATTTTTTTTTTTTTTGCTTTTAAATACAATTTCAACAATATACCTTTAATTACTTACTGTTTGCAAATTGGCTTAATGTTTTACATTCGCAAATATTTTGTAGTTTTTATGCTTTCAAAATCTTGATCAGTTGTAGGTATATCCTCCAATATTTTTTGCTCATCTTCGTTGTTTTTATTGCTATCATCAGGATTTGGCATCATATGAGATATTTAGAAATAATGGAATGAGTATTGCAATCGGTATACCTGTCATCAACTTCGGAAGATCTTCAATCATGCAATTTTATTCCAAAAGGCCAATGATGCTTTTGGACAATGAGAAGCAATTAACTCTGAGAAGCTTTATTAAACCCACTCGCAATACGTTTTAGTCGACTCTGTCCAACCTTGTAGATATCAAAAGCAGAGCTTCCAGAACTTTTATTTGTAATTTAGAATCATCTTGCTGGTTACCGGAATCTAGAAAATGAAATGATTACCTAACCAGTTGTTTAGTGTAATGTTCTTTAAATAATTGGATAATTCCAAGATTCAAGGATAGAAGCTTGTTGGAAAAAATTCCACTCGCAAATTTTACAATTTAAGCTTCGATACTTCCGATAGTTCTACTCTTCCGAAGTTTTGCCCATCCGACCACCCTTCTGATTTTGTGTCAAGGTGGGAGTCTCCTCTCAGACAAAGGGACTATTAGATAGAATCGAAGAAACATAAGAAGAGCTGCAAATAGCTAATAAATGAGTTTTTTTTTTTAAAGAAAGAAAAATTCAGAAAAATTTATGCAAGCTTTGTAGGATAAAACGATTTTGATGTGTTAGAATAAGGAAGAAGTATGAAACTTCAATGAAATTTTATGAAGACGAAGGTGTATTGAGCGTCAAAACTGTCTGGTGCTTGGTGAAGATAACGAGGACATTCAATATCCTATTGTTCTACCTGATCATTCAATAACTTAACGTTTAATTGAGTATATGCATAAGATACTGAACCATGCTGGTGTACAGATCATTCTAGGACATTGGAGAGAAAAATTTTTGGTCCTCAGAGGACAGAGGATTATCAGGGAAGTGATTTCTAAGCGCATTCCTTTTAAGAGATATTCTGTGAAACAAGCAACAACAGTGTATGCTCCATTACCAGCCGATCGTGCTCAGAGAGTTTCTGCCTTTCAAGCCGGCAGTGCAGATTTTGCAGACCCAGTCTTTCTACAAAGAGATATCAACGCTTGGATCATATTTTTTTGCCTGTGCTGTGCACCTTGAGTTGGTCACGTCTTAGTTAACTGATGCCTTTATTTGAGCATTGCGAAGATTCATTGCTCGTAGAGGGAGATGCAATGTCATCTATACAGACCAAGGAACAAATTTTCTGGGTACTTCAAGAGCACTGCGAAATTTGGAATGGGAAGCTATTCAAGTTGATCGTACAGTTCAAAAAATTAAGTGTAATTTTAACCCTCCAAGTGCACCTTGGTTAAGTGAATGGTGGGAGCGTCTTATTAGAGTGCTCCAGGATCTTTTGAAGAAGAATATCAGCAATGATAGCCTCAATTAGGAAGGGATGCTTTCAGTGTGTGCTGACTACGAAAGTACCATGAACCAAAGACCTCTAAATTACACACCTGAGGATACTAAAGAACCAAAACTTTTGACCATGCTCATTTTTTATGTGAAGTTGCTCGAACATTACATTGTGACGCAGTTGATTAAGATCTAATTGACAGCAACCGCATACGAAAGAGATTGTGCTATCTTAAAACGGTCCTTGAGAGGTTCCAGAGAGAATATCTATCTGCGTTGTTGAAAAATTTTGAAGATAAACAATGTTCCAAATTAAGGTAGGTGATATAGTTCTTAGGGGATTTGATAATTATAAAAGAATCAAGTGGCCCTTAGTTCGGGTCGAGGAGTTGATCTCGGGCAAAGATGAAAAACGAAGAGTTGCTCATTGGAGTTGGCTGATACTACCCTTATTCGGCCTATTCAAACACGGCATCCTTTAGAAATACGGCACGAAGATTTACCACCCATCACCCACCTTGCTGAGGCCCGTATTTCTGATGTTTCTGGAAACAATACCCTAGAGACTTCTGATGTTAAGTAACCCAAGGTGTTTCCCAAGTGATGCTGCTGCTGTGGCTAGACATTTGACTGTTAAGAAATTTTATTGACTTTACTTTAGAGACTTTAAATTTAAGTGTTACTCTCCAATATTCTGTAAAGGTAGTTTCTCATATCAATTGTTGTAATATCACTTTAAGGTTGTTTTATTTTTCTCGTAAACATTTTCCCCTTTTGGTCTAATTTCATTATTTTATTACGTTTTGTCTTGACTAAAATCAATACAAAAGTTGGGAGTGTTGCGAATTGATCATTATATTTTAATCGTACTCATTATGATTATCTACTCAATAAATAACCAACTGTGTCTGGCAGCAGTATAATATAATTTTTGAAAAAAAAAGATGGTTGTTGTCTGTTGATGATTAAGATTTGAGTTATTAACTTGCATTGTTTTTAACTAATGAATTTCGCCTCCTGTGATATCCTCGTTCGTAAAATGTAACAATCACAACATCAACACCAACATCATTCAATTCTCCCATAATTCTATTTATGTCTCCGTGAAAATTATGTTACAAATGAAGCCAGATTATTCTCAGCTAAATTTGGCAATAGAAAAAATTCCTGAAAAAAGGTTGCAGATGTATAACAAATCTGTTCCATAACTTATTTCTTTTATTTTCTCAAAATTGTTAAAATTCTTTTGTTTTTAACTCATAGGATTTTTTGTTTGGAATGCATGACTTTTTTATTCAATTAAAATGTGAAATTAATTTTTTTATTCAATCTAATGTGAACTTAAGTTATCACATTTAAGAATTATTGCCTTTTAAACCTCCTCAATAACAAGAAACCACACTTTTTAAAATTAAATTTGCAAAATTTTGATATCCTTAGCAAACTTAATTATACTATTTCATTAGCTGATTCCCATTTTAGGTGGTTCACTAGTGGACGAGACGACGGAGATAATGTTTGGATTTGGGATAATGGAGGAAGCTTGTTTAGTGACATAGACTCCTTATTTTTGCCCATGCAAAATGCTTCTTTTCTCCGCTTTGCCGCTTATAAGTAAGTGTATCTTATAATCAAATGAAGGGTTTAATAAAGTTTATGAAGCATTTTGATGATATATGTGTTTATAAGAGATCTTATGCTTGTTATTCTTTTTTGTGTACATATTAATCACTTGAGAATTTGCGTGTATGTACATATATATATATATTTTATGCTTTCANCGCCAGCGGACTCAAACAGCATCAGAAATCCGTAAGGAATTGAATGCTACTAAGCTGAAAACAGTGTCAGTAATTACTGTACAACGTGACTGGTTTAAAAAGTTATGTAGCTGCTAGAAAACCTCTTTTGAAAATACAAAGCATTGTTAAACTATGGAAATGAGCTAAAAACATGTTAACTGGTCTTTAGAACAGTAGTCAAATGTTTTGTTTACTGATGAGTCAAAATTTTAGTTTGGAAGCAAACAAAGGAAGTATGTTCATCGTTTAGTTGGTGAACGTTTGACAAATCAATGTTTACTACCAACTGTAAAGCATGGTACTGGTTCAGTCATGGTTTATGGATGTTTTGCTAGTGACAAAGTTTGAAATCTTGTTTGAATAGAGGGAATTATGGATTAAAAGTATCATCACAGAATATTGCAGTGTCACGCTTTTCCGTATATAACAGAGAATCGTTGGTCTTTGGTTTGTTTTTTAACAAGATAACGATCCGAAACATTCATCGAAATTGTGTAGAAACTACATTGCATCAAATGAAAATAAAAAACTACTGAAATACATGGATTGGCACCCTCAATTCCAAGATATTAATCCTATTGAGCTATTGTGGAATTAACTAGCTAGAAGTATTAGAAAAATGCGATGTACCAAACAAAACAAACTTTGGGAATTTTTACTTAGTTGTTGGAACAAGATCTCAGCTAGAACATTGCAAAAACTAATAGAAAGAGTGCCAAAAATATGTGCTGCTGTGATTAATGCTAATGGAGGATATTTCAAAGTCTAAAACATTGGACAAAATTCATAAGTTGAACATAAAATTATAGTTCTTACTACGTAAGTGTACCTATAATTATGAAATTAAAGTTAATTTGCTGAGATTTTCAGTTTAAAAACCTTGTAATTTGTTTATTTTTAAAAATTCAAGAGCGAGTCTAAACTTATGACCCGTGGTGTGTGTGTATATGTGTGTGTGTATATATGTATATATATGTATTTATATATATACATATATGTATATATAAATATATAGTGGTGGCCAAAAGTGTGGATATTTTTTGAAAGTTTCATGTTTTTCAACTCTGTGTGCTTGTAGAATATATTCATTTTCACTTAAATACAAACGTTTATATATCAAATTGAAGGTAATTTAATGTAGAATTTAATAACAAAAGCAGAATTAAAATATCTGTTAAGTTATGCTCATTTTAGCAGAACAAACAAATACAAATCGTTTTGAATAAGGACGTGTTTTGTAATAAAAGCGTACTAGCCAATCACAAACACTGCCCTTAGGACCAATCAAATGTCTGTAACTATAGTTTGGTTATTTGGATGGTAAAAGAGTTATTGTTGAGGAAATATTTTGCGGAATGATGCATACTAGTTCAATTAAATAGAGCAGTGGTTCCCAACCCTTTGTGGACCATCGCCCCCCTCTTGGGGTATGCTGATACATATCGCCCCTTTCTCTTTTTGCTCAAAAACACATTCATTGCTCAAAAACAAAATTCATATTTTATAGTAATCAAGAAAAAGTTAAAACGCTAACAACTGAAATTTGAGGGGAAAAAATGAAGAGGGAGAAAGTACATTTTTACCACTTCAATGACTGCCCTGTGCTTGGTGTATTTCAAGTTAAAGCTTGAATGTCAGGTTTTATGCTCGTCAGATTTAAACGCGGGTCTCCTTTGAAGCAAATGTCCAACCTATCTCTTTGCTTTGTGAGCAGCTGGAAGACAGAACTAAATCCTCTCTTCACTAAATATGTTGACCGGAACGAGATGAGAAGCGGCTCAGTTAGTTTCCACAATTGTGGATGAGTCTCCATAAGCTTTACCCAAGCTAACTCGTAACCGTATTTTTAAAGACGACTTAAACATCACAGTTATATTTCAAATCTAAAATCTCAGTCTACAAAGAGGAAGTGAGCTTATCCACAACTTTAAAAGAAAAAGGATCGAAAATCCAATCTGGAATTTCTAATTTCATCAAATCTTTAAATCTTGATTCCATAACTGATCAAGGTGATCAGTAAAAATTAAGATTTTATTTTCAAGAATCTCGATATCTGCCATTGAACACTTTTTAAGAGTTGAAAATTGCATTAGCTCTTTGCAACCATTGTTTGACTTGTAGATATCAAACTTGGCGATGAATGAAGATATGATTCCCTTAGTCTTGATAATGTTCATTTTATTTCCTTGAAGTTTTACGTTGATTTCCTTCATTTTTTGAAAACTATGAGTGAGGTACCCAGTTTCTAACTTGCGTTGCTTCAAACTCTCCCTTAAAACAGGATCAGTGGTGTCGAGAAACTTAGTAACCGAATCCAGCAATTCGAAGAAGCGGCTTAGTTTCCTTTTGAAAGTCATCTCACAGCTGTATGTAGGAGCAGGAATTCGAAATCTTCATCATTTTCATGGCTAAGTTCTCGGAACAAACGGTTATTAAGAGAACTAGCTTTTATTTTATTGATGCCAGAAATAACCAATTTTTCGCAGCCATAAGTTGACGATGAATGACATAATGAATGGTGAGATAACTTCTGGTACTTCTTTTTTAAGGTGATCCAGAAACCCAGTATGACAACCAGACATGGTTGGAGCACCATCTGTTACGCAAGCACTTACATTTGTGAGAGAAATTTCTTTTACCTCAAAATAATCTTTGACCAATTTAAAAATCGACGGTCCTTTTGTATCTGTGTTCAAAGTTCTTGTAAACAACATTTCTTCGTTAATCTCCTTACTCTCATTTATGAATCTCACGTAAGCCAAAACAGCTTTGTTATCTATCACAGTTCATCAATCTGCAATGCAAATTCACCTCCTTTCAGAAATTTGATGAGTTTTGATTCAACGTCGGCGGCCATCTCATCAATACGCCTAGAAACAGTATTATTGCTCAGAGAAACAGAGTGACTTATCAAAATTCCACCTGCTATACCAAAACGTATGACGAAAACGATCCTGCACTTGAATTTTTATTTTTAACTATCATAATTCTTTGTGTACACCAGAACCATAGGTTTCATTTATATTTTCAATTTCAATCTCAAATAGCTTTTATTATTAATAATATTAACAATTTTTATCTTTTGAATACTCGTCGCCCCCTAAGGATTATCGCCCCCTTGAGAAGCTCTATCGCCCCCTTTGGGACGATCGCCCCCAGGTTGGAAACCACTGAAATAGAGTATTGTTGTTTTTGAATATGTAAAGTCCTTTTTTTTAATTAAACTAATTTTAAACAATGTCATAAACAAGAAGAACTAATTGGCAATCTACAACAAGAAGCCGAATTGTCATATTGAGAGAAAATGGCCTCTCTTAAGCTGAAATTACAAGACAAGTTGGTGGTTCAGTGACTTGTTCTGGTGTACGAAAGTTCTGTTTACGTTATGAAAAAACGAAATCTGTGGAAAATAAAGCCAAATCAGGCTGAAAAAATACACAAGTGCTACTACCGATAGAAAAATTAAACGGCTATGCCTTCGAGATAGAAAAATTTCATCAGATGCCATTAGATGTGACATGAATGCAGCGGGTATTGCAGTAAGTTCAAGAACAATAAGAAGAAGGTTATCAGGTTTTGGACTACAAGCTAGAATTCCAAGGAAAAAACCATATTTAAGTCACAAGCAAAGCGAAAAACGAGTTAAGTGGGCAAAAGAACACATTAAATGGTCAGAAAATCAATGGAAGCAAGTAATCTGGAGCGATGAGAGTAAAATATCGCTCTTTGGTAGTGATGGTAGAAAATACGTGAGACGTAGAGTAGGTGAAGCACTTCATCCTGATTGCATTGAAGCAACTACAAAAAACCCAACAAATGTCATGATTTGGGCATGTATGTCTGCAGATGGTGTGGGCCGAATTCAAGTGATTGATGGCATCCTGAATGCAAAAAAATATGTCGAAACTGTCCTGAAACCAAAATTGATACCTTCCATCAGGGATCTCTTTCCCAACAATGCACCATTTATTTTTCAGCAGGATTCATCTCCATGCCACACAGCAAAAGCATGCAAAGCATGGTTTCAAAATAAAGGCTTAGATATGTTACCATGGCCAGGAAGCAGCCCTGATCTCAATCCAACTGAAAATTTGTGGCGACGTTTGAAAATTCTTGTACGAAAAAAAAACGTTCATCCAATAAATGACAATTTATTGAAGCTATAAATGATTCTTGCCACCATGTGATTATGAAAGATGAACTCCAAACACTCGTTCACTCGATGAAAAGACGCTGTGAAGCTGTCTTAAAAAATAAGGGTTATCCTACAAAGTATTGATTATGCAAGTATCACTTTAAAAAAATACAAATGTAAGATAGATCTTGATATTAGTTGCATAACTTTTTTTGTAATACAGATATTGCAATACTGTATTTATTATTAAATTTTACATTAAATTACCTGCAATTTGATATATAAATGTTTGTATTTAAGTGAAAATTAATATATTTTACAAGCACACAAAGTTGAAAAAACAAAGTTCAAAATGTTGAAGAAAACAAAGAAAAATTGTAGACATATGGAAAGAAAAAAAAGGGGGGGGGAATAATAAGTAAAAAAAATAGCAAACAGTTTAAAAAAAAGAAAAAAAAAGGATTAAATTTTATTTAAAAAACCAAAGAAAAACCGGAAAAAAAAGATATAATCTTTTCACCAGCCCACACGATTATATCCGCAAAACAGAGTGCTTTCTGATATTGTATCAATGAAACCAAAGCAAAATATATTAATACAATAGTGTGAGGAGCACTCAAAAAATTTTTCATAAAAATTACAACAAATAAAATAGAAAAATAAGTAAAAATAACATG